GAATCCCCCTGCAGCTGCTGGGCCGGCTTAGGGGCCTGGCCCTGTAACCAGGTACATCTGGTGCGCGAGCTGAAAAACACTGATGTGAAATAACTGTTCCTGTCTGAAGCAGGAGCAGGTCCGTTCTTCTGCCGTGTTTTTCTCTCTAGCCCTGCGGAGAAGGACTTGGGGGTGCTGGTGGATGAAAAATTGGACATGGGTTGGTAATATGTGCTTGCAGCCCAGAAAGCCACCCGTATGCTGGGCCGCATCAAAAGCAGCGTGGCCAGCAGGGCGAGATTCTGCCCCTCTGCTCTGCCCTGGTGAGACCCCACCTGGAGTGCTGCGTCCAGCTCTGGGGTCCCCCGCATAAGAAGGACACGGACCTGTTGGAGCGGGTCCAGAGGAGGGCCACAAATATGATCAGAGGGATGGAGCACCTCTCTTATGAAGAAAGGTTGAGAGATTGGGTGGTGGTCAGCCTGGAGAAGAGAAGACTGCGGGGAGACCTTATTGTGGCCTTTCAATACTTAAAGGGGACTTATAAGAAAGAGAGAGGGAGACTTTTTGCCAGAGCCTGTTGTGACAGAACAAGGGGCAATGGTTTTAAACTGAAAGAGGGTAGGCTTAGGTTAGATACAAGAACAAAATTTTTTTTCTCATGAGGGTGGTGAGACACTGGAACAGGTTGCCTTGAGAAATTGTGGATATCCCATCGCTGGAAGTGTTCGAGGTCAGGCTGGCTGGGGCTTTGAGCAGCCTGATCTAGTGGAAGATGTCCCTGCCCATGGCAGGGGGTTGGAACCAGGTGGTCTTTAAAGGTCCCTTCCTGCCCAAACCACTCTGTGGTTCTATAGTTGTAATAACTAACAAAGCACTACAGAACAGCACATTGTGTAAATGAAGCCGCGTTCTGTGAATAGTACGTACCTGAATTTAACTTTGTTAAATACAACGTGAGCGAGCTGAGAGGTTGATAGGATGCATTTAGGTCTGGGATTCAAAACTGGCAATTCAGGCTTGGTTGCATTTGTGTTGCTGGCATTTGGGGATGTCAGTTGTAGATCTTGGTGCCGGCAGCATCTTCAGATGTTGATAGCAACTGGGGACTAATTTTCAGTCTTCTTTTAAGCATTCCCTTGCCTCATAGAGAACTGCAGCTTGCTGCAGCTGGGAATGTCCATCCTCTCAGGAAGGTGGTGATAAGGATTCCTTACTGCAGGACTAAGGTGACTGTAGGTTACGGTTGAGGTACAGGCTGTTAGAGCAACTACTGATGAAAGACTCTGCCCAGGACTTAGTGGAGCAGCAAGGGCGTCCTGCATACTGCTGCACAGGAGGACTTAGTACTGCGTGCAAATAGCAGAACTGGAGTTTTAAGTTTCATGGTAAGGGATCTGTGTAAGTAAAAGCATCTTAATAAATGAGAGCATTTACTTTTGGAAGTAAAGCTGTCATTTGTACTTACAAATGAAAGCATCAGCATGCTCTAACTCCTCACACATTGGCTTCACGAACTTGCTCAGACGTGCCCAGAGTGAGTTTGGTCTGGCCAGCCCAGACCTAGCAGGCAAGCCACGGTGCAACAGGGCTTGGTGCTAGCTCATTGTCGGGACGCTTAACTCAGCTTCTGAGGCAGGCTTTTACTGCTGCCTGGTGCTCTGCGCTACTCTGGGGGATGAAATGCTGGTGCAGCCTTAAAGCTAATGTAAGTATGTCTGCACATACTACGGTGTTACACCTACCGTTACTTGATTTTTGCCTTAACTTTCCTGAAAACTTGGCAGATAAACCCTTCGTGAATTAACTTTTTTATTGTTACATAATGATACACGAACATGTTATCTAACCAGAAAAACAAAATTACTTCCAACTTTAAAATTAAATGTCTGCACTTTGATGAAAGAATTCTTTTTATTCTACATAAACCCCAAAGTTTGAGAGCTCTGTAGAGACGGAAGCAGAACCTGATAATTGTAGGTTTTGGTGTAATTACATAGCATCAACAGAAAGGCCTAACAATGTTTCCTCTCTTCTGTAAACTTAGTTTTGCTAAACCTGGCTATTCAAGATACAGTATGGAGACCCTGACAGAGGCCGAGAGGTAGGCCACTGTCACTGCGTGGTGAGCATCACTAGGTGCTTGGCACTGCCACAAAATGTAGCATAAAATTGTTCCCAGGGCCTGAGACCTCAAGCAGGTGCCCTCACTTCATGTTCCTAAAGCCTGCTCCACCTACAGGGAAGTCTGCTCTGCATTTTTCTGTTTCTTTGGAAGCTGCTGTAACCCTCCTGCCAGTTTGTTCTGGTTTAGCCAGCCACTGAGCACCACACAGCTGCTTGCTCACTCCCCCCTGGTGGGGTGGGGGAGAGAACTGGAAGAGTAAAAGTGAGAAAACTCATGGGTTGAGATAAGAACAGTTTATAATTGAAATAAAATAGTAATAATAATCGTAACAGATATACAAAGCAAGTGATGCATGATACAGTTGCTCACCACCCACCAACTGATGCCCAGCCCGTCCCTAAGCAGCAGCCCTCCGGCCACGTTTGACCCAGTTTATATACTGGGCATGCCGCCATACGGTATGGCATAGCCCTTTGGCCAGTCTGGGTCAGCTGTCCTGGCTGTGCCCCCTCCCAGCTTCTTGTGCACCTCCAGTCTTCTCAGTCGGTAGAGCATGAGAAACTGAGAAGTCCTTGACTTAGTGTAAGCACTACTTAGCAACAACTAAACCATCAGTGTGTTATCAACACTATTTTCATACCAAATCCAGATTACAACACTATAGCAGCTACTAGGAAGAAAATTAACTCTATTCCAGCTGAAACCAGGACACAATTGAATCATCCTCGCCCACTGAACCTGGTTGCATATTCCTTCTTCCCTCACAGCGATCCACTCTTTCACTTGGCCTCCCTCTTTCCGTACCCCATTTGCGTGTGTTTTCTGTTCACTGTATTCTTGCGTAGCCCTTAGTGCATGGTGTTGGACTGGTGTCAGTGTCCCCTCACTGCAGTAGCTGCCTTCTCTGTAGGTCCTGCTAAAGTTTTAGTCTGGTAACTGTACAGCTACGTAGATACTGGGTTTATGCTGTGTAAGCCAGCTTGAAAGGGAAGCCTTCCTTATCGCACCCCACGCCACCCCCTGCGTTTAACTGGTTGGATTCTGCACTTGCAATGCCATACCTCCTCCTCTAGCATGCTCCGGCTGAAAAGTCACTGGGGAGTCTTCCTTGTGCTTTTTTTCCCCAATGTTAGTGCATTTCAAGGAAGCGTAATAGGGTACAAGTTTCTGATCCTGTCCCCTCTCTCCACCCCCTTTGCATGTTGCCGTTAAATCTCTTAAAGCTGAGTTAATTTTTTAAGAATTTGCAGGTCTTGCTACAGAAGGCCCGTCTACCACAGGTTCTCTGTGTGGGTGGATTCCTGCATTTGTAAAAATCCTTTGTCTGGCCATTGGGTTTCATCTCCTGTTTTTTAGTATAAACTCAGCTGTGGGATTTGAGCTTCTGTGAGCAACGGCTTCCAGTAGAGCCCTTTGGAGTTTGCTGAGGTTTGAGAGAGGGTTAGAGGCCTGCTCTGGGCTTTCCTTTTTCTGCTGCTTGGAGCAAATAGTGAGCATCTGGAAGCAGAGCTGTTCCCAGTGTACTCTCATTATCCCACTGGGGAAGGCAAGTGGAGCTGCTCTGGGCCCATGAGCTTTTGAGATTGTGTTACTGGTTGACTGGTTTGGTTCTTTCTCCTCTTGAACAGGAACATGCCCAAGAAAGGAGGGAAGCATGCTGAAATGGGAAAAGAGATGCAGCCACAATGCAAACGAGCGAAGGTAGAAGCAGCTTGTTCTCCATCAGTCATGAGTTTTGAGAGCCCAGACAGCCTCTTTGGAAGTTTGATCTCTCCCATCAAACAAGAGATGTTTTTCAGGGAATATTGGGAGCAAAAGCCGCTGCTCATTCAGAGAAATGATCCCCTGTTGGCTTCTTACTACCAGTCCCTGTTCCAGTTGTCAGATTTGAAGGAACTGTGCAGCCACGGTCTATACTATGGGCGAGATATAAATATCTGCAGATGTGTGAATGGAAAAAAGAAAGTTTTGAATAAAGAAGGCAAAGTGAATTACATGCAACTGAAGAAGGATTTTGACCAGAAAAAGGCAACAGTACAGTTTCATCAGCCGCAGAGATTTAAGGTTGGATCATTTCATTGAATATAATTAATGCATGTTTTATAGTGTAGTATACTTTGCTTGAGTCATACTAGACATAGCTTCATTTCTGTCCCGAGTAAATCCAGGGGAAGTATCTGACATCGATGACCTGCTGAAATCTATATATGAACTGTATTAATTAAAGCATGGTTTATATTTTTGCACTGCCCATCATGTTTCAGTGCTCTGCAGTAAGAACAAAATCTGATTCATGCTATCATAGTAAGCATTCTGTTTAAAAAATTTGCTTTGTCATGTAAGAGTTTCAAAAAAAGTAAATGCACAAAATTGATGATTATCCATCTGTGTCTGCTTAAATTATCCCTTCTGGTCTCCCACAGTTTCCTTGTGCAAATAGGGGCTTTTGTACCGCTTTCCTTTAACGGAGGGCAAGGTGTGAAACCATGTAAAATATCTCCAGGACACTCCACCATTCTCGTCAATGGATTGGCTTTGAATTGCACCACAGAAGTGGTACGCCACATTTTAGCTGACTGCCCTCCCTCTTTTGTTCATTTTGATGCTTTTGCAATCGTCATGTATTGAGAACGAGGCAGTGGTGTCCGCACAGTTGTGTAAAGGACTTGGATGCTTAAAGGTACTTGGATTTAGGTGATCCTTTTTTGTCCCATGGTGTCAGCACAGTTTTAATTGTGAAGTGGTCCATAAGGACCCAAATACACAGCTGAGTCTCAGGTATAGTGTCGCTGGCTGATCTCAGTTTGAGTGTAGCTCAAGGCCAGTGGCAGGGGCATCTGCAGGTGAAATTGAAGTGTTGTGTGGCTTATGCTGAAATCTAGAGCTTGTGCTGAACCTACATAAATTCTGCTTGAAGTTGCACTTGTGCAGCTCTGGTAGTTGGCATCTTCTGATACGAGAGTCATCCCTTTGGTGCATCGTCTGTTACGTGCTAGGTGTGGATGAATAAAGTTTGTTCTTGAATGTGCCCAAAAAATTGGAGTCACTGGAAGAAGGTCTCTAATCTTTGTATGCTCTCTTTGATGCTAGCCTATATAATGCAAGTCCTGCATGTGTTTATTGTCTCAAGATGTATTGCTGCTCCTGGGATGATGGGTGGTTTATTTTTCTCTGTCTAGCCTTGTTTGTCTGTTTTTGCAACCTAAAAATGGCAGGGGGAAGAGAACAAACATCAACACTATGTTGGGGCACCAGACTTCTTGGCTTACTGATTACCTTCACGGCAGATCTCCTTTGCGTCTGCGGTGCTTGCTTTCAGCAGCAACACTCGTACAGAGCGTCTGCCTTCCCAGCCCCTGGCTCCCTGTGGGGATCTGATCGTTTGCTAGAAAAACCTCCCAGGCGATGGGGAGGCTGTGGGCTGGGTGGCAGCCTGGCTTGGCTGAGCTCTTCAGTAACAGCATCGTTTCTTTTTAAAGGAGGAGCTGTGGAAGATTCAGGAGAAGCTGGAGTGCTATTTCGGGTCTCTGGTTGGGTCGAATGTTTACATTACTCCCCAGGGGTCACAGGGCCTTCCCCCTCACTACGATGATGTTGAGGTAGGACAGCACAGCCTTGCCTGTCAGACTGTGCGGGGGCTTTTGCTGGTGGCAGTGGATATCTGTACGTGTGCTTTTTCCCTCCTCTCTCTCATAAAATAATTTGTTATAAAAAAACGTGTTTTCTGCTGAAAACTTAGGGTAATCGGCTGCAAGTGTTTCTTTATAGTTGTTTTTTCTGTATAATTTTACTGAAAAGGTACTAATAGAAATATCTAATGGTAATATCATGTAAACTGTGCTTTCTGGACCTGGTATTTTCATGAGGTGAAAAGAGAATTTGTTTTCCCTGCTGCAGAAGCTTTCTAGCACCTTTTGTTCATTTTTACTTCATTCAGACCCCCCCCCCCCCAAAAACCTAAAAGCCTTTTTTTTTTTTTTTAGTACTTGCTCTTTCTTCAACTGGACAGTGGAAGCAGACTGGTTGTGCTGGTTCCCATTTGCTGATCAGTAGCTTAACAGCTGAATGAGCTATTGAATTTTTTCCTCGAAACCTTTCTACCCCCTTTTTTTTTTTTTTCCTTCTTTCACCCCCCCCCCCCCCCAAGAATCTAGAAGTCCTTTTTGCTTTACTAAGTACTTGCTCTTTCTTCAACTGGACAGTGGAAGCAGACTGGTTGTGCTGGTTCCCATTTGCTGATCCTACTGTTTTTAAGAAGTTACTGGTATGATGAAGTCATGTGGTCCAAATGCATTTTAAATTAGCTTCTAGAAGAAACATTCCAATAGACACTGCATTAAAAAAAAAGTTGGGCTATCCCACTTAAACAAAACCAAAAAAACCCCTTACATGTCTCTCTTGCTTTTAATTTTTTTGCATTTCCATTAAATACATCTGGAGTTTCATTCTCCTTATGCTTGTTGTTCAGCAGCCTCACAACCTGCATGCTCTGGCGTACGTCCCAGCTCACAGCATCCCCTAGATGTGTCTGATGCTCTCTTTGTCAGTGAATGGTGATACGACCTCTCTCACCTGATACTTTGAATATCTGTGTGGCAGACATTACTTTTGAGCTAGTTGTCTAGCACCTATTTAAGTGACTGGAGAGAAACGGGGATTTCCAGATGCCTGCCTTAGCATAAAACAGATCACACTTCACATCTCTTCTCTCTGTTATCTCTAAGTAGAGCCTAAAGAAATAGGTCAAATGTAAATGTTTGCATTGTAGACATCTAAAAATTAATGAGAGGAATCCTGTTTGCCATGCTGTGGAGTAGCTGAGAGCAGGGAAGGTGAAACCTGTTTCTTGTTCTGAGAAAAGCGACCTGTGTCACTTCTGTTTGCTTTCTATCCCTGGTCTCTGGCATGGTTCCACAGACTTTCCAAGTAAGAAGATGACTTAAAATTTCTGATCAGTTGGATGTGTGAGGGGCAGCAAGGCTTCCTTACGCATTTGGATTTATGGTCTTTTGCAGGTGTTTATCCTTCAGCTAGAAGGCGAGAAACATTGGCGACTCTATAAACCAACGGTCCATTTAGCTCGGGAATATAATGTTGAATCAGAAGATAGGATTGGGAATCCCACACATGAGTTCATATTAAAGGTATTAAAATTGAATTGCTTTACCTGGTCTGGGCTATGGTTGCCAGAAAAGTAGTCGTGTTTAGAATGGTTCCTTCCTTGAAGACAGTATTCTGAATGATCGTTGTTGTGAAGTTGAGGGGAGGGTTGTGAAGTTGAGGGGAGGGTGCTCACAAAACAACGTGAGCACGAGAAATTGGGGTGATAGCTGTCTAACCTGTCCTTTTTCAAAGGTATCCTTTGCTTTAGTGTTTAAATAATGGACCCAGAAATGAGTTATTTCTGGAAATTCTCCAGTATTCTCCAAGTTGGGCACCTTGACTCCTGGATCATGTTTGTGGAGTTGTGTGCAGAAAAAACATTGGGTTTATATACGGTTATGAAACGTTTTTATACTTTTACATGCTGTCTATAATCAATCAGGCTAATCCTTCTATGCACTAAGACTTACTGCTTTACCAAAGGTTGTCACTGTTCTGATGAATTAGATTTAAATATTTATCCTTGGCTGATAAACAAAAGCATGAACTAAACCCCATATTAACTTGCTGTATTAATTGTTTTTTCTTTTTCCAAACCTGAAAATCAAGTGTTTGGCTGTTTTTTGTTATTTGGAATAAAAAGAGCATTTCATGAAGATTAATGAATGCAGCTCCTTTGACAGCAGGGCATCTGGTACTTGTCCCATTCTGTTTTACATGCTTGTCCTTTTGAAGCGTGTTATTTATCCAGCAGACGGGGCTGCTCTGTGTCGGAAGCCTCAGTAGTTTCTCTGCCTTGTGTCCTGTCCTTGGGCTTCTCTCTGCAAGGCCTCTGCTCTTCGGGTGTTCAGACCTGCCTTTGGGTGCAGGTAGTTCAGGAATAGTATGACACATTGGGTATGATACTGACATCACTTGCTGTGTAGTTTGACAGATGGTAATATTCAGTTGTCATGATGTATTGGGTGATGCAAAGTCTAATAAATTACAGTTCCCTTTTTAATTTTTAGAACGTTTTGGGCCGGACTTCAATGCCTTTGATTCTTATGAAATAATGATGTATTCCACAAGCCATTTTACTGACATTAGTGGAGTGAAAATATTGGTCTTTTTGAAAAGGGCTTAAAAATTATCAAAGTTCTAAATTTATTTTTCTTCTGTTGGATGTTCTTCACTTCCCGTGACCCATTTCTTCCGAGTGGCCGCTGTCAGATTTTGATTGTCTGTCTGGAGCTGTCTCTGACAGGGATGCTGTCAGATGACTCTTATTTCCTCCCTAAACATCTTTCTAGAATATTTCCTTTCTCCTCTTTTGCATTTCTGTCTGCTGTCTGCCATCCTTGGGCAGTTAGAGCAGATGGACCAGTTAGAGACTCTATTGGTGGTGTTCTCCCTTCCCACCAAAAACTGGTAGCTGACCAAGAGCAAAGGCATATTATATTTTGTATATAAGGTCCCAAGCTGCAGTGTGTCTCGGTGACGCTGCATCAGGCTGTGGCCATGGCTGGTTTGTTACTGATATCAGGCACAGCTTATTTGGTAGCTGGCTATCTAGCCTTCTTCATGTATGATTTTCCATTTAATTTGCTGCTACTTCTCCCTTTTCTGCCCCTCCTTCCTCCAATTCAGAAGTAAGAAAGCAGCAAAGTGATCAGATCCGCGTTGTCTCCAGTCCCATGCTCTGTCCTGCCCCGATCTGGGTGTTGCCACCTGGAGTCTGTGAAGGTTCTGTTTATTTTAATGGCGGAGTGTTGTGCTTGCTGGCTTATGTGAATGGTGTTGATGAGACTACCCAGCAGATAAAATGAATAAGAGTTGGACTTTGCAGTGAAGACTGCTTTGAAAAATCATGATCCTGGCTTCTTAGTGCTAGGCACGGGGTGCTACAGCATGAAATAATTTCTTTTGCAGACTAGTTTGTCATTACTCTGGTAGGTGTTCAGCACTCTTACCCTTCCCCTGTGCCACTCTCCCTCTAGTTTGTTTTCTTGCTGGGGATATGAAACATAGCAAATGAAGAGAATTCAAAATACTCCTAGTTGGTTAGTGTAGTCCCGACGCTGGTAAGAAAGGCAGTTTATTAATGGCAGAGAAAGGCTTGCTTCAGAACAAGTAAGTCATACATAGCTGATCTATGGTGCTTTACAGCTTGTTATAAATGGATTAAGATATTTGATCTTGCCAAGTCCTGTGAAGCCTCATAATCTAAACACCTCTCAATTCAGTGAAAAATCAAGTAGTATTCACTTGAAACATATCTGTGTTAGACAGCTTGGTAGGCTCTTAGAAGTAGGTGACGTGACCGAATTGAAGGAATGGCAAAATTGGAACGGAATCAAATTTCATCATTGTTGCTTTACGAATTTTCTCTTTGACTGTGCTATCCAACTATATAGATGTTTATAGGAGAAGCCATAAGTAAACTGGTTTTTCCTTCTTGGAAGCAATTTCGTGCGCTTTGCACTTCTCTCTTATCTTGACTTTCCTAATGTAAATTTTTATCAGTGTGGAAATTTAATTTAGAGAGGTGAGAAGAAAGATAGGGAGGAGGAAGGTTGTACTTGTTTTTTAAGTGTTTGAACTGAAAATTTCAGCCAACAGTATTGTAACAGATTACCATCTTTATAGAATATTTGGCTTTTCTTGTGGAATATTGGCCGTTTCTTTTGACGTGATCTGACCAAATCCACACGGCACTGCTCCTCTCCTAGCCCGCTGTATTGTCAGCAGGTTTCTCTCAGATGCTTCTTTGTCCCCTTTATGCAGCTGAGTTGGAGTGCACATGTTCTGTAATGTTAAAAGCTTGCTTCATGTTCTCAGACAGGTGTATAGTAAATATTGACGGTAAGTTGGAAAGTTTAGGGTATGAGACTTCTGGCTTAGAGTGCTTTATTTTATGTTATTAAAGTGTACAATGGAGGATCTCTCTATTTTGTGATTTTAAAAAATATATGTTGTCAGTTTGTCTGCTCAGAGAGTATTTTCTCTGTTTTGACTACAGGAAGGTTTGACCAGGTGCCCTAAATATACCAATTCTCTTTCATTTTCTTGCAGCCAGGTGACTTACTGTACTTCCCAAGAGGGACCATTCACCAAGCTGACACTCCATTTGGCGTCTCCTATTCTACACACGTGACCATCAGTACCTACCAAAACAAGTAATTATTCTTTACTTTTCTTTTTTTGTACGGCTTTTCAGAAAATGGCTTTCCTCTGCCAGATGATGTCTGTGAATAGTACAGACCTGAAACTGATGTTTCAAAGAAGTGATGTCCTATTTCTTAAAAAAAAAAATAACCACCTTGTAATGAGCTCTGCTTGGCTCTTTTCTGTGTTCGTTCTATTTAGCCCTTGTGTGTTTTGTTTTTCTGTGAGTAATACAGGGATAGGGCATGTCACCTTCCCCCCAGAGATGTGGTGACATGGAGTATATGTAGGTACCCCACTATTATATGTGTGCCCTGCTATTAGTAACAGAATCTAAGTTAGTGTTCAGGTAGCGGTAATTGAAGTTTTGGGGTTTGGGGGAAGGAGGGGCGTGAGAACCTTGTTGTTGGAAGCAGCCTGTTTACCAGGTTTTCATGCAGCAAGCTTGATTGCTTTTTAATTGGTTATTTTATTATTTACCAGCTGTAGACTTTAATGTGGAAGATGATTGTTACAACTGCAAACTCACTGTTGTGTTTAAAAAAAAAACAACCTCTCACCAGTGGCTGAAGTTACTGTTCATTTCATAACCCAGATAGAGTGATGAGTTACTCTTTTCATCGTGTTTTCTCCTGCATTTGATAGTCACCCACACCTGCTCTGACAGACTCGCTGCAAATTCTGCCTTCGCAAATATTTTCTACTTATCTGTGTTTTTCATCTCCTACCCTGTGCGTGCAAGTCAGGTTTCCTTTGACACACATCTGATCCTTGTGCCCACTGAAACGTTGTCATCGCACAGGGAAATGCTGCTGCCACCTAATCAGCCTCTCAGATGCTGGGTTTGGAGTCCTTGGCCTGAGTTAGGAATTGAGAAGGATTTCTGTTAGCCACAAAACAGGGCAAGAACAAGTTTGGGCATATGCTAGATGATTATAAGATGAATCTCTAACCACCAGCTATATCATTCTGGAAGCCCAGGATGTCAGCACTGCTGGTAGGTAACTCTTAATGAGGCCAGTCCTCCAAGTTGGAGAGGGGGTTAAGATGAAGCTGCTCAAAGGTGTGAGTCTTCATAAAAGTTGGGTTCAGCTGATTTTAATGTATACTCATGTTCTATTCTCTTATTCAGAAGGCAAACAATTATTTTCTGTAAGTGTTGACTGCTGCTCAAAGAGTGTTTGACTTCATTTGTTATGCAGGAGGCAATATTAGCGCTGAGCCGCTTTGGCAGGTTTGATGGCACATTCAGGGTGATCAGCAGTGAGTGGCCTCCAAAGAGATGTCCTGCTCCTCCTCCCTTCCCCTGCCTTTTCTGTCCCACCGCCTCCTTGTGTTGGCCAGGAGCTTCTCTCACCCCTGGTTTAGTGAACTGAACAGACAGAAGACTGACAGTAGAATAAGTGGATGTTTGGCTTGTTGATGGAGGCTGGGCTGGAGCGAAGTTTTACTGACCGGTGTGCAGGAGACCTCCTGAATGCACAGAACAGGGTTTGTCCAGCTTGATCTGCACAGGGTTATGGGTCAAGAATTCAGTTCCTTATAACAGGGTTGCTGGAGACCTGACGGGCTTGGGTGGAGTCAGTGCAGTTTCTCTGTGACAGCGTCAGCCAAATGCCAGTCCAGTGAGTTCCTTGAGAAGCGGTGCTGTTGGGGACCATGTTCCCTGGGTGCTTGTGTCAGAGTGAGGAGAGGAAAAAGGAAAAGCTTGAAGAGTGTTGTTTGTTTAAGAATAAAAAGTGGAATCATTATCCGTTAAGGTTATTGGTAATGAAGTGTAAGAGCCTGCCTCTGCACCTGCTTTCAGCAAGCATAGGTAGAATAAGCAGCAGTCCTGATACAGGCTGGCATTTTGATTTGGCTTGTAGATGGAAGTATGGTCTGGAAGCATTTCCTCGGAAAATTGAAGAGAACTCCTTGAAAATAGCTGTCCTTATTATGGAGGATGTTTGGACTCCTTGTGACCGCTCTGGAAGCAGCACGTGCAGAAGGAGCTGGGAGGGGAGGAAGTGCCGGGGGAAGCAGCACTTTCAGGGATTTTTAGGCACCAAGACAAAAGGGACTCCGCTGTGCGCTGCAGGACGGTTCCTCTGGGCCGGGTCCCAGCAGGCAGAGAAATGTGTGTGTGCGTGTGAATTCATTATAAGCAGGGCAGGTTGGAAAAGCAGTGAGTAGCTGAAGATAGTTGCTGGCAGATGGAGATGGGGGGCAAGAGAAGGGAAGCAGTAAGAGGTACGTCTAATTGTATTTATTGGCCAGAGTCCTTCCCTCCCGATATGTAGCACACAGCAGAACACTTGAGTGGAGACAATGATAAAAAAAAAAGTAAATGAGACTATAACAAGTCATACCTTTTTTTTTTTAAACTAGTGTCTAGAGATCAGTGCTGAAAACAGGGTGTGCTGAGGGGGAGAGCAAGAGCAGAGGGTGTACGTTGGAGGATGGGCCCTGCTCTGCTGCCTGCCGTAGCTGGGTGGGAGTCTGCTGGCAGCCTTGGATGCTGGGCACTCGCCCCGGCTGCCCATTAAACCAGCCTCTGAGGATGTGGTAGAGAGGGAGGTCGCACGTGGACAGGACAGCGCTTCTGCGTGAGCGGCACGCCTGTTCCCGATGAGGTTGACTCAGGCCAGGCAAAGAAGGCGCAGGCAGTAGTCCTCCCTCCCCTCCTCTAGTTTATTCTTACAATTGGGGAACAGAAGCAGAGCTCAAAGGCCGATTTTTTTATTTTTTTTATTTTTTTTTAAAGTATGTAGGCTAAGAATGGGGATGGAACACAAACAAGACACCTACAAGGTGCCTGTTAAGTATCATTAAAATCCCTGTAGAAAGATGTAGGGGTTTTGTTTCTGGGGTCAGTTTGTAGCAAAGCTAAAAACTGATGTCATGTTGGATTTGATAACCCCGGGTACATTTCCTCCTTCAGTACAGGTGTCCCAAAAGCATGGTAGACGACACAACCTCACACGCTTCATTGTGCGCAGTGAGGTCATATGTGCGTGGGGTTGCATAATAATGGCCCCGGTAGGAATTTCTTCATTCACTGAGGTCAGCTTCAAGCTGAATCCACTGGTAGATGGCAAGCACCTGAAACTGGACCCTTCTCAGGCCAGCTCCTTCCCTCTGTAGGCGTGCTGCTGACCCGAAGCTGGTGAGGACACACATACAGTTGAGATGAGAGTGAGCTATTGCATGAGAGTAGAGTGGTGATGGAAGGGCCAAAGGCACAAAGCAGATTTGGAATTGGAGCACTATGTTTCCAGCCCTTGACATCAGTTGTCTGTTTTATTTCAGTGCAACTATTTTAGTAATTTTTTTTTCCTTTTTCTTCCTGTCCTTCAGCTCTTGGGGAGATTTCTTACTGGATGCAATTCCTGGCCTTGTGTTTGATACAGCAAAAGAAGATGTGGCACTGCGGACAAGCATACCAAGGCAACTGCTTATGGTAAGTAGGTGGGATGAACGGAGTAATCATGCATCCAGCTGAAGCTTCGGCACTGAGGCAAGCATGTATCGTGTTGATCTGCTCTGAAAGCGCAATGCAATGGCACTATCTATCTTGTCTAGCAGCACAACCACTTCTTCTGAAGACTTCAGGATGACTGGTCTGAGGTTTGCTCCATCTGAAGCACTGCCTAGTTCACTGCACTGCCTTTCTTTCCTATCACAGCGTCCTTGTGTGGCTTGTTTCCTTCTAAAAGTAATGGTATTTGCTTTGGAGCTGTCACACAGTTCCTGTCAGGCCAAGCTTTTGAATCTTCAAAAGTTAGCAAAGCTGTAAATTGTTGTGTGACCTCTTTATGGTAGTCTAGCTGTGCTGCTGATCAGCTCATCAGCATGCAGAAGGAACAAGTCTGGCTTTCAACTACACTTGCAAGTCCTTTAGCACTGCAGGTAGCCCCAGAGGGAGGGGAAGTGAGCATCACGTTTGGTGTGTGGGGAATGTAAAAGAAACAAAAAGTTCGTTGTTTTGGGAGTAAACGTTACCGTTTGCAAAGATAAAAGAGGAGTGTCCAGATTTTCTGCACCTCTTTCTCTTCAGGCTAGTCTGTTTAGCTTGAATTCATGTGAGAGCAACTCTGTGTGAATATTTAGCAGGTGGATATAGCTGACTCGACAGAAAAACTGAGTAGCCTTTTGAGAAGGCTTGCAGACCGTCTGGAAAACACCAGAGAACTGAGATCGTCTGACATGAAGAAGGATTTCATTATGAACCGGTTGCCACCTTGCTTGGGATGTGACTCTGATCCTTTGACTCCAGGTAGATTCGGAAGTTACCAAAACTGGCTGATGTGGTGGTGGAGCTGTTGGTATTTTACGGTAGGCAGAGATTATAGTCTAGCATCAGCTCACCTCAGCTGGTTAATTCCCTGTGTCTAGCGGAAGAGATGACATGTCTCAGAGTGAAATAACGGTTATCCTAGACTGAAATTGGCAGCTTTATTCAACTACTCTCTACTGAGAATGTTTAACTGGTAGAATTTGTCCTTATGCTTTAGCTTGCTATTATTACAGCTATTTGTAGACTGTGAGAGAATGAGAATTAAAAAAATC